AATGTTCGATGCTTTATTTGTCTATATTTGTCCTTCCATATATTTTATACGCGACGAAACTTCTGCCAAAAGCCAGAACTGTAACTTTGTTTTTTAAAAACTTTTTCCAAAATTTAAATGTGTACAATCCCTATATTTTCTCAGACTGTATAATTCTTGGCTTCACGAGATCATACATTATTTCGTTGTCCTATTTTGCTAAATCGGGATAGACAAGAGCACCTGCAGCCAGCTGACACAGCCAAGCCTAAGGTGCGAAGTTATCTACCGAATGTCACCTAGATATTGATTAGTCATTAGGGAAATATAGTGTAAATTCTCAATAGTCGCAGAATTTGTCTAAATTGAGCTTAGATTGAAAAGACTTCAACGAAATCCTTGAGACGTTCGAAATATCAAAAACCAAATGTAAATTTCTAAAATTTTTGAAATTTTTTGTAATTCAAACACCAACGCTACTTTTTTGGGCAACATTATTATTTCACTGAGGTCACGTTCCATCGTAAACCAGTACAAATTTTGCGACTATTGAGCGATATTTCCCTAATCAATCGATATCTGGATGATATCGTCGATAACTTCGCTCCCTTGATCATGGCTGTGTCACTTGGGTGCACATGTTCCTGACCACCTTCCATTCAGTAGAATGCCTAGACGATAAAAGAAAAATGCACGATCTCGCGATGCCAAGCTGTCCGAATTATACAGTTTCCAAATTAATAATGTTGCCCAAAAAAGTAGCGTTGGTGTTTGAATTACAAAAAATTTCAAAAATTTTCGAAATTTACATTTGGTTTTTGATATTTCGAACGTCTCAAGGATTTCGTTGAAGTCTTTTCAATCTAAGCTCAATTTAGACAAATTCTGCGACTATTGAGAATTTACACTATATTTCCCTAATGACTAATCAATATCTAGGTGACATTCGGTAGATAACTTCGCACCTTTAGGCTTGGCTGTGTCAGCTGGCTGCAGGTGCTCTTGTCTATCCCGATTTAGCAAAATAGGACAACGAAATAATGCATGATCTCGTGAAGCCAAGAATTATACAGTCTGAGAAAATATGGGGATTGTGCACATTTAAATTTTGAAAAAAGTTGAAAGAAAACAAAGTTACAGTTCTGGCTTTTGGCAGAAGTTTCGTCGCGTATAAAATATATAAAAGGACAAATATAGACAAATAAAGCATCGAACATTTTGCAAAGACGGACAATCTTTAAAAATACTGAAGATATGACAAAATGTCCATGCTATTATTTTCTGTTAATCGTTTGAAAAATTAAATGAAATGAACCAAACAGTTCTTCCAGGAGCACTTCAACAAAATAAAGTCTCGAGCAAATTGATTGGAATTCTCTGTTCCCTAATTAGCTAAGGGCCGCATGCACTAACATGGCCGCGGGGAGGGGATCGCAGCTCAAAAGAAAGCTTCATATTCGAAACTCCAGATACTTGGATTTCACGTTGTGTACCTATCCGTAAGTATTTCTACTATCTTTCACTATGAACATGTTGAACAGGAGCGAGAAGCTGTACAAACCGCATTTCCCAGCTTTTGTATGATCCCTGATAATCCCCGGCGCTTTTCTTTAAAGTCATTTTTCTTCCTCCGAAGTTAACGAAAAACTTCCAAAGTTGTGCAGATTATCTAACCCAACAGTGCTAAGCATGTTGCTGATAAGAACAAATGATGTTTTGAAGTCATGAAATTTTCGATGATCCACAGGTCGAAATTTGGGGTGTACCGAAAAATTCGATTTTTCGAAAATTCATTTGTTCTCATCAGCAACATGCTTAGCACTGTTGTGTTAGATGTTCAGTATAACTTTGGAAGGTTTTCGTTAACTTCGGAGAAAGAAAAATGACTTTGAAGAATAGATGTTCGTCCCCCAGGGATCATCAGGGGATCCTACAAAAAGCTGGGAAATGCGGCTTGTACAGCTTCTCGCTTCTGCTCAATATGTTCATAGAGAAGGATGGTGGGAGTACTTGCGGACAGGTAGACCGTGAAATCCAGATATCCGGAGCTTCAGGATATGAAGCTTTCTTATGAAGCTGCGATCCCCTCCCCAGCGGAAATGTTAGTGCATGCGGCCCTAAGTCACGAACATGCCTCTAAGTGCGAATCCAACTGTACAGAGATCTGGGTGCAGGAGCACCCAGTTAGGGGTATGGCAGCCGTAATTAAGAAAAAAGCAAAAATAAGAGATATTTAGGTGATGCTGAGATATCCAATTCATACATTTTCAAGTAGCATTTTTTGCGGAGGTTCAGAATATTTAAAACTTAGCAGGTTTACGATAACACTATATTTGGTCCCAATTTGCGATAATTTGATCGTTTTTTGCACAATTCCACCGACCACCAAACGGTTCTTTTCTCAGAATCGAATATTCCAAGATGAAAAATTTGAACAGCAGGTACCACTCAAAACGTAGACGAAGTTTTGACTCCTTGATCAATCTATCTTTTGTATTACGGACTTGGAAATGAGGCACCACTTCGTCAATGGAACACGCGCACCTCATATCACCTCATCTCAAGACCATGTATCTTGGAAATCATTCCATATAACAGACCAGCTTCACCTTGATTTGTTGAAGGAGTCCTTGTACTCTACTGGTAGTATAATTATTTGACCAAAGCTGCATAAAATTGAAAATTATGAAGCCTTGAAATCCGCAATTCGCGTCTGCAGGCCAGGTCGTTCTTGAGGGGCCAAATCAGCCTGCATCATAGTTGCTGATCCGAAATTATCAACGAAACAATGCAATCCTCATTGCTGTCGATTTCTGATGTAAATTGTGCGATTTAATCAAAATTTTCATAAATTTGACCTAAATTTGATGAAAATATTTCAAATAATCACTAAATGCTTCATGTAAGAGTTTTTTGATTTTTTGAAGCATGTTCTAAGTCAAAATTCTGCCAGTAGTCCAAAAATTTTCTTGTTGCTCCATGGAACTTATGTCCAAGTAACTTAATTCGATGCGACGGTTTTGTCGCGACAAATACGTCGCGACAGCTCAAATAGAAGTAATTTTCAAATTTTTACAGTTGCTCTGAATCGCTAGGTTCTCAGCAATCCAATGATGTTCTCCGTTTCTCTCGAGAACTAGTTTAGAAAAAGTTATAGCATTGCGACGGTTTTGCGAAGAAAGACATGTCGCGACGGAAAAATTTGTCGCAATCCGTTTTTTCCCATGAGTTAGGAGCTCGCGTTAGCGTTCTTAGAAGCTTCCAAACGCAATGATTTTGGAACTTTCCCTCCTTACAGCCGGAGTAGGCTTGGGACAAGCACTGGTAGAAGAACGAAGTCGACAGTGGTTTGCCTAGGTCGACTGCAATTTCACTGCTGTGGCCGCATTTATCAACGAACCCATGGGTTTCGGAATCCATCGGATAGGTTTAACCCACGGATTGATATTCACGAATCTAGTGGTTCGCGAACCCAGCATGCTTTCAGTGAATATCGATCCAACCCAGTGGCACTGTTTCTGGTTACCCACTGGGTAGCGGAACCCACTGGGTTCGTTGAGGAATAACTGGATTTTGCCTGCGCATTTGTTTCTAGGGTTGAATGAGTAAATTTTTCGAGAGCAGTTTCTCCCATACTGTCCCCTACGCCGGCACGACGCTGGTACTTGGGCAACTATGCACATCTTTGCATCTCACCAACTTACACCAACACCATGAGCTTCATGTCCTATTATGGAACTTTCTTTTGTATCATAAACCCTCTCGTTGATCTCAACATCTCTTATGCGTGCAAAAAATTCATCAGCTCTCGGACCTCAAGCACGCGTCTGAGCTCATCTTTGGAGCTTGAAGCGAGGTATTCCTTTGATACATATTTATATTGGTGCAAATGCAAAACTTGTTTGAGTCGGTGCCTCGGACCTAACACTTACTCACCAAACCTTGGAATCGGAAATCCGTGGCTTACAAGGAAAGGATACTTGGTGACCGTGGCCTTCTGCAGTGATATGTATGCCAATAGATGCGTCTCTAACGCTGATTTTAGATCTATGTTCTTTATCTCTGTGCGACTCTCGGAGTTATGGACTTTCTTCCATATTATCTCACACGACAGTAACCATGCTTTTTAAACTCTGATATATCGGAAACAGTCTTCCTGAGCTTAACGTGAAGCTTCACTTTATTTGGGGGTTCTTTTGTAATGCGTAAGTGAACATCCTAACGATATGGGTGAATGTTGTCATCAAACAGTGCAAATTTTGATGCAAGAAATGTTCATAACTTCTTTCGGAAGAGCGCACAGTAGATACTGAAAGCAGACTTGGAATCAGCTCTTCAAGATGCATTTGCTGGTTTAGTCTCATTTTAGAAGACCACGGTCACCAAGTATCCTTTCCTGTTGGGATCCTTCTCACCTGTGGAAGCACAACTTGTAACAATTCAGGACTAGTTGATTGTGCGCGGTGGTAGTGGGAAAGGTCTGGGTGCCAAATAACGCGGTGGACACCGTGCTCTCAGCCTCCTTGTCAAAAATTTTGCAAGTCGTGGAACGCATGTGATTGACATTAACCATGGGTAAACTTGAATCAAAATTTTTACGGAGGACCCTTACTACGATTGCGGGTAAGTATCTGGAACGCTTGAAGTTCATTCAATCAAGATTCTTCACTGCTCTCCCCTCCTGCTCCCCTCCTTCCTTTCTAAAAAGATACAATGGAGTCAGAAGTTGCGCTCCAATTCAGTGATGCGTTGGAAGTGAATAATAAGAAGTCTTGAACACAGATTTTTCTTTCCGTCCACTGTTCTCAAAGCAGAGCGAGAAATCATTTTGCAACTGCAGTTACGAGCTGAAGGTTACAAACTGTTCTATTCTTCAATGTCTTTGATCAAAATTAAAAATTTTATTTACTATGAACAGGACTGCTGCTTGCAATAGATTTTATTTGGAGCATCCATCTCAGTGTGCGTTTCTTTACTTGTTACTGCAACAAATTCCATAACGGGTTTCCTATTTTTGCTTGCTAACTAACTCTTTGCTTCGTTTTGGTCTTTCTTCCTTTTCCATCCGCTTCTAAGAGCTGTAGCTCAAAATCTACGTCATCCGCATCGCCTTTTCCCTGTTTCTCAGCACCATCCTTTTTCTTTCCAACGTCTTCATTCGTTTCCCAGTCACTCACGATATCATCCATGGTCGGGTAGGCCTTAACAAAGTAAAGTCATCTGGCAAAAGGCATTATTCCTTCGATGATTGGGATTTGCAGGAAGCTTACTGATTCCTGTCGCTTCGCACCCATTGCAATCATCTTTTCTTTTTTATTGAGCTCCCTTTCCTTCGGCTTGAAGGTTGGCTATAATAAAGCTGTTAAGTGTGTATCTCTTTGTTGCTCTTCTGAATCTAAATAATACCTTCTTCTCTTCATCTTCCCAGTCGCTCACCACGTCGTCAAAAGTAGGATAGGCCTGAAACATTTTGAGGCAGTGGCTCGGGTAGATTGCGACTGCGTTTTAGCACCCCTCCTTGGCCTTCTGAGGCGGTATGTATCAATCGTCCGTCCGAATAAGGGTTTCATTCAGGTAGTATCCGGCTCACAGCTTGCGGCTTTAAGGGATCTGTGGTTTTTCCTGTTTGTCATTCTTTAGAGGCCCTATTACCCTAACATTGTAGCATAATGAATAACAGCACTTTGCTGCATTCTCAGGTACTCTGCATCATCCCAAACGGGATTCTCAGGGAATCAGGACTTTTTTTTAAGTCAATTATCCTTGCAAAAAATAATAAAAAACTTTGTAAAGTTATGCTGTTGATCTACTATGACTGCTGAGCATCTTTGCGGAAATAAGAAGCAAAACTCAAGTTGACGAAGTTTTCGATGAACCTCTGCTCGCGAGTTGGCTACTGAAAACATGCTTAGTACTGTCATAAGTCTTCAGCACAACATCAGACGTTTTCAGTGAGTTTTTGCAAAGATAAGTGACTTTGAAAATGAGCCTGATCCCTGAGGAACCCGTTCTGGATCATACAGGATGCCAAAAATCTCAGCTAATACAGCAAAGTACTGCTATTCATTATGCTACAATTTAGGGGTAGTAAGGTCTTCAAAAGATAGACAAACAAGGAAGAACACAGATTTCCAGAGTGCCGAGCTTTGTACGGATACTATGAATGGGAACCCTTACCCGGACGGGCGATTGATACATACCGCCCCTGGGTGCGTTGGTTTAGGAATTGTTTGAAACCTTTTAAAGTCGTCAATAACAGTGTTTTCATGGCGTTTTCAGGCCTTGAAGATAGCTGAACGAGTGATTCCCGCCCACCGAGGCGCGATGGGTGCCTGAGCCATCCAGCCAATTGCCGCCAGAAAAGGGAAGTGACTTCATCCATATAGTTTCCTGCAGCTAATCACTGTTTTTGGCGGAAATCCTCCTCAGCACCATCAACAATATGAATGCCGGAAAACGCCACAAAAAGCGCTTTTCTGATAACGTCGAAAGTTTACAAGCGCTGTACTGGACTCAGCGAATTTAGAAGGGAAAACTCGTAATCGCAAATTCCGCGAGCCACTGCTTTGAGTTGAAACAGGTTCCGTTGGAAGTCAATGTGTTTTTCAAATTATCGAAGTAGACTGTACTAATCCAGATCTTTTAAGCTCCACAACACAAATCTAGGCTTTCTGTTCTGTTTCTCTTCTCATCGCGTATGGGAATTGGAAGAAGACTGACACTTGATGCTTTTTTCATTCCTTTCTTGATCAGATCTAACTTCTTCTTAGGAGTAGCGCCTATCGGTTGCGCTGACAACCTCGCATGAATCGTCTGAAAAGCGATTCTAACATTCTATAGATATGTTTGAGGGCATAACTCACAGCTTTCCTCTCCTGCACTTTCTTCTGAACTTTCTTTATTTTTGATTTTGAACCACGCGAGTGTTTTGAACGTGACGACGACGATGAAGGGGTGGGTGTTGGTTTCGCTTTCGGTGCGTGCTTAATGTTTTCAGATATGATCATGTATGTGGGAGTGGACCCCTCTTCCACACTCATGGTAAGGCCTATTTTCGAACGCGCACGTCACTATCCATGGACCATTTAGCGCAAGCAGATTGGGTGTATGTTAAGAGGCGCGATTTTATTGCCAGATGGACACCAACAGCACATAGTAAGGGTCTTATAACATTTTGAAGGCATTGAAATTTTGGAAAGAGATATATTAGACAGTTGCACGAGTTGCTCAATCTTGCTGCCTTAAAATGAATTCAAAACAACAATTCTGAAAGTTAGAAATCCATGAAAATGCAGGTAACAACAAACTCGTAGATATTTCGGTCCGCTCTCCAGCAAAAGCCACCAAACTCAGCAAGTGGTAATCTCAGACAGATAGTAAGCCAACGCACTGTATCTGGTACTTGTTGAGGACTCGCATAACAATAGACTGAGCCGAAGAAATCGCGCCTCTTGACTGTCTCCCAAGCAGATTCAGAAGGGGGAGGGGATAATTTCTTGTACGCAGCGGATCGTTGTGGGTTTAGAACTGCCTGGACACTGTCTTTTAGCTGGGTTACTGATAGTCATTCATCATTTATCATTCGTACAGACAAGACATTTTTGATATCCTCTATGCGCATATGGGTATCTTGAACATTCATTTACACTCATTCATGTGCCTGATAGGACGACTGTGAGGTGGAGATTCTGCAGTTCTGCGCGTGCTTTGGATTGATCAAAAAATATTCGGGTTCAAGTTTCCTCAACCTGCCCTCTAGAGAAGTATGGTGGAAATGAAGTTAAGTGATTACTGAGTATCTTATCATTTTCATTTGTAACAGAACTTCATGATTATCTTGTAGAGACACCCAAGACCGATGAGGTGGTCGGCGATCGGCAATTTTTTGACATCTGCTCTGTCAAGATATGTTACTGGATGGCTCACAACTTTCTCGACCTTTTCTTCTTTTTCTTCCTCTATAATCGCCTCTTCTTTCGCACACAAAATTAAATTCCCTTAACCGAATTTCTGCCATATTTCGGGAACCATAAACCATATAGAACGTACAAAGTATAAGAAACATGAAGAGTATGTTGACAATTGAGTACATAATCATTTGAAGACTAGCAACTCGTCGCTGTTCTGAAAAAAATTTGTTCTTATTGCGCTGCAGTGGCAGATTCATTGTAGTACTGCAGACTCACAGACGACCGCCCTTTTAACCTAAACAGAACACTAGAAATGAACAACACTCCCGCTGTACTCTTCTCCATAATTATCTGCTGGTATTTTCTATGAAAATATTTATCGTTACTGTACTCTAATCATATTTGGCCTTTTCCCGCGTTTATTTTCGCTGACTCGCCTCAATCTTCACACGATTGCCATATCGCGCCGATGTCGCGTTATGGACGACGCGCCTTCAAGAAGATCTCTCTTCCAGAACTCTTCCGTTCCGATACATTTACGTTTTTCGGTAAGTTCAAAAAAAAAGTTCTGCTTCTTGTTCGAAAAGCTGCGAACCTGAGGGGTGCAGAGCGTCAGAAAATCGCATTTACCTAAAATTATTCATTCATCTATCTATCTATCTCTTCATAACTCTCTCGAATGATGAACACTCAGACAAATCACCGGAACTTCCGCAGGACAAGCCAAATTTGCAGAAGTTCCGCAGGATTTTGCACACTATTGCAAAAATGAAAACATTGAAAATCGGAACTTCCGCGGGATTTTCATGCCAAACTGGTTGAAAACCGGAACTTCCGCAGGATCTTCTCCAAAATCCTGCGGAAATTCCGAAAATGCCAGAACTTCCGCAGGACTTTGAATGTGTTGTCTCGTGATGTTGCCTCGCCAACAACTAGAGTGCATTATCGAACATGTCAGCCGTAGCCTAGAGGATAGTAGGTGGGTCTCACAGTCAAGAGAGTGAGGTTCAAATCTCGCTTCGGTGTTCTCTTTTGCTGTTGTGGTTGGCATTCCTCGGAACTTCCGCAGGACCTCATTTCGGAACTTCCGCAGCAGGTTTACGGAACTTCCGCAGGTGACCAGGCGGAAGTTCTGCAAGCGCTCTGCGGGAGTTCCGGTCATTTGTCTGAGCAAAGAGTGCATTGCGGTCATGCCGGACTTGTGACGTTTTCGAAATTGGAATCATTTCTTTGCTTATCACGACATTAAAACCCTCTGCTCCTTGCAGTGAGTGTTCGTAAGCTGGCGATCAACATCTTCTTTCAATGCAGCTTCATTCTAAAGATAGGCGTCCGCGCGATCTGCCTCTATTTATATGCGCTTTTTTGGAAAAACGGCTGAAGATGACCACTTTAGCGAGCAAAAATCAGGATGCTGTGCAGTTGAATTTTTGTGGAGTAAAAATTTAAAGTTCTGAAATGTCATATCTTAGCATTCCTGTGGAGAGTAGGTTTTTGAGGCATCTATAGTTAATTTGACGTTTGTATCATGTGTAAGCTCTGGAAAAAAAGCCATGCGTAACCAAATATTACTAAAACTTTCGAAATTGAATTGTTTCAGCAACCTTGGTTTCAAAAGTTGGTAAATCATTTTGTTTTCTTGAGCCATTACGTCAAGCTTGGTTACGCGATATAATTCACCTAATGTTTTTGGCGAACCAGACACTCATTGAAATGTTTGAGAACTTTTCAATGATTTTCGAAGTGAAGATCCTGATGATCTCTACTCTTTTGTATAACAACAAGCGGAGGTGCAGTCGCTACTATGCACGCTGTCGTTCAATGTTAGCAACGAACTTGAAAAATACCTTCAAATCACCTCCCAACACCTCTAGTACATACCTCCTATATTGCATGGTGGTTCTGGAATCAACGCAATGGTAAGTTAATTACTGCAGAAACAATACTGAAGTTTGATTATGAGCAACGAAGAGAATGTTACGCTCTAGAGACTACCAGACAAGTTCGAAGTTGTTCTTGCTCTCCTTACATGCGGTCTACTTTAGGAAAAAGATAAAGAACGGTTTTTAATGCTAACGAGATGGTCAAAAAGGGAAGTGCTCATCCACAGCCTGTAATTCGATGGATGCGGCATGGAACATCGACTCCAGGGGCGGTATTCATCAATCTCTCACTGGCTGTTCAGGCTATATTTGACGAGTGCCAGGACAGACGAGGGAATTTGGTCTTATCTGGCAAGTTTGGCCATCTCGGACACGGCAGTCGGACAGTGGAGGCCGAAATTTCGAGACTTCCGTGTCCGACATGGCCAAATTTGCCAGATCGGACCATATTCTGCAATAGACAGGAGTCTGATTACCAGTTTGGCTTCGTGTATCGGGGGCGCCAGTGCCCGCGCCGGTACGGGTTGTTGTACAGAAACCCCTTCCTATACAGGAGAGTGATAAATACCACCCCTGAACTATCTGTATGTCTGCTGAACATCTGTAGGATGTTATGTGAGCACTTCTGTTTTCAAAGAAATCATACTTATGGATCGCCAAACAGGCGCATTGCCTTCTCAGGTCATTCAGGCTCTTATAAAGCAACCCATCTGCATGTTTTGGCCCAGCATTGAGCTAAACATGGTTCTGTATGCCCCTTTGCACTTCGCATACACAATTTCTTTGAACTGTGATGGTTTTACATCGAAAGCATTCATTCGCCTATTTATGTATTTGCAACTTGTGCAAGGTATTTGAAAAAAACGATGTAACAGGATCAACAGCAAGAAATCAAGAAAATGTCAAATAAAGTGGCATTTTCCAGAAACTACTCTTCTCAATTAAAGATCTAAGGCTATAGCTGAGCGCGGGATATTTGGTGCGAGTAGGAAAAACAATAGTCAAACGGCATCTCAGTCGTTTATCAGAGAGGTATATTTGGATACAGTGTTCTGTGCCTGCATCCATTAACATGCATCTTATCCAAATATGTAGCCTTACAACTGCTAACCATTCCCTTAAGCATACGTTTAACGTTTCAGGGTCTCCTGTATTGTGAATGGATACTATCATTGGATCTTTGATTAATTGTCAACTCCAAGGACTTATTATCAACAAATTCAAACTTCTGTTTCACCTTTCATTGAATGCTTGCTATTTACAACTACATAGCAAAGATATTCGATTTTGTTGGCGCACTCTTAAGTTCCTTTCCTAGTAAGAATGAGTGATATATGCTACTTCTGACCTTCATTATTTAGTCTCTTCAACTTCGGGAAACATAGAAATGGCCAAATGGTGGTCGGTCAAAGTGCAGTGAGCTTCTATGTACGCGATAAGGCGATCAAAAGAACAAAATGGCTTAGTTTGACAGGTGGTTGAACAGAGAAACCAGCAAAGGTCGATAACGATGGGATTAACTCGTTAAGTGGGATTATTTTTTCGCTATGCGAACAATGCTCGGCTACTTTTCTGCCTTGAGGGACCCTGCTGAGTTCAGTTTTTATAAAATCAATTGATTCAATCCAACTTTGTTCGTCCAGTCACAACAAACCATCCTAAAAGGACGTGTCGCAGCTTCTATTGATTTCGCTTTCCGTTTTGGGTCAGACCACTGTTCTATGCCTGTGCACACGGTTCGTGGCTTTGCAATCCGTGCAAGGTTTTATTTTTGTCCATTTTATTGCAACGAATTTTCTCAAATAATGTACTGGTGGTTTTAGCTTATGTCTTATGAAAAGTTAAGAGACTGTTGCAAAAAAGTTAAGAGACTGTTGCAATAGCAGCATTTTTCGTTCCTATCCAGTAGATATTTCACTGAAAATTTTTTTCCAAAATTCATCTGATCTTTCTTGCTGATTTTGCTAATGTCCCCTCCACAAGTGGCATGTACGTTTGCTCAGGTTTCCAGCATGCTTGATCTCCCTAGGCGTATCTTTATTTATTGCTTTTTCACTTTGATTTAATATCATTATTTCAACATATAGTGTAGTTGAAGAGCATCTGCATATGATAACTACCTAATTATTTCTATAAAAACTTTTCCTTCCCTTTTTTCGTTTTCAAAATGGATTCTATATGCTTCTATTACTGCTTGCTCTTCAGTCTAAATTTCCATCAGTCTTCACATCTTCGACTTTGAATTCTTCGTTGTTCTGAGGACAATCGATCCATGCTATCCTCCTTTCATTGTCCACATGTTCGAACACTCTGCCCTTGTTTGCTCAGTAGCGCTACTTTATCATATGTAAAGTGTAGGTGATCGACATAATTGACAAATTTGAAAGCCGTGGAATGAAAGTGGAAAGGCGGCGCTATGTAAATCTGAAAAATACTTATTTTTCAAAGATTATGTAAGAAAAAACGCAAAGCAGACAAAAATATGACACATATCAGTTGAAACAAGAAGCAAATTAAATTCTTAGTTGCAGCTATCCTCGGCTGTCCTATAAAAGATGGACGGTTAATATAAGGGGACCATTTTTTGAGAAAAATTATTGTTCGTAACCTTATATCATGATGCTGAAAATGGCAGTCTACCAATGAGTTTTCATGATTCGATCGCCAGCCCAAATCATTTCAAATTTCTCTTCGCGAAATACCGTGCACACATCCAATCTTCATCCTTTTTCACAACTTTCGATAAAATCTGGGAAGTGCAGACGTTGCTAGTCAAATACATGAAGTTGATTCTTGGCTCTAACTTTCGCGCAAAATCTTCGCGTGTGCATTTCTACACCCAGCTGGTATCTGGGCGGGGGGGGGGGGGGGAGGATTGTAGCCTCCACGGTTATCCAGTTCGAATTTTTCGAATTGGTAAGTTGCTGGTCATGCCGACTCTAGATGACATGTTCTAATTTGAAAGTTTCGTTGGCAATTTCTAAGCAAAAGGAATAATTCATGAACCGCGATGAGTTCACTTGCTAGATATCTTATACTGACCTTCAAATAATTTGGAATATGAAAAATTATGAAAAGTGAGCAAGGGACAATTTTTTAATGTCGCTTGGTTGAATTACAAACTCAAGCAACGTGAAACTGGCTGGCCATTAGCATCAGCAAATCAGCTTTAACACATCTAGGCACTGTAAGATTTTGACCAAATCAATTTACTATGACAAAAATAGCTCTCTGAAGTGGGATTTTGCTTGAGTAGCACTGCATGAACTTTCACTTACAGGTATGGCGGACTTGCTTCCTGTGGAAGTTCCGGAGGACTTCAGTCGAAGTCGTAATCGAGATCACAGAGGACAGCTGCGACCAATACCTGAAGAGATGCGGTTTACATACGGTATGCGAGTTATCGTCACGAGTTTGGACATTTCGTATCTTTGACTTTTTATTGAAATTCATTGATATTGTTGTAAAAGTCATTAACATAAAGACAAACAAAAATTCCATGAAGTTATCTATTGCACCCGTTTCTGTCATCAATGAAATGACTCCAGGAACTGCTGGATTTCGTCAGAATGCTGAACTATTGCCGTTTGTAGTTTTCCGGATGGGATATCTTGCAGGTCTTCGGGCCAGGTTTGTCACTTTTTTCCGTCTCATATATCTTATTCGCACCCTTCAGAGAGCTTAACAAAACCATTGGGCTCATGATAACTGCTTCTCACAATCCTGCAAAGGACAATGGCGTAAAAATAGTGGATCCAAAAGGAGAGATGCTTGCAACTGAGTGGGAGGTGGCTGAATGATCCTCTAATGGCTCCAACTAAAATTATTCTTGTAGAGGTACGCATCAGAACTGGTAAATACCAGCGATAACGAACTACCCACAGCTGTGAGAGCTTTGGAGGTTCAGGTAACTACATCCTTGCTATGTGGAGTCTTGATAGCACTACTCTTTGTCTAAGGTGGCCACTAGGCGTCCAGCTCCAAAAGCCTTGGTAGTCTGCGCTATGGATTCGCGTGATAGTGGACCACATCTGATGAATGCTGCCAAGGCTGGTGCAGCGCTGATGGATGTGCCATTCGAAAACCATGGTTAGCATAAATACCGAGCAAATTGATAGTTTTAACTCCATGTGAAACACATTCATTTTTCGTGAAGAAAGAGAAGATCTACTTACTTTAGGCGAATGGTTGAACATAAAGGTGGAGATCCTTTTTTGCAAGCTTGCCCTCCTACATTTTTGTGTAAAGGGGCGTGGCGGCAGCGACGACGGCCATAATCTCTATCAAGAATTGTCCTTTGGGAGGGTATGTGCCTTATGGAAACGCGCGCCGCTGACCGATTCAGCTGAAACCTTGCACACAGATGTTTTCGACCCCGGAGACTTTTAGCCATTTTTTACTGGAATTCGCTGGGTCCTTCCATTGATTCATTGATTTTTGGCACCCCGCAGTGAAAATGAACTTTGTCAGACGCTATTAAACCGCTTGCACATTTTGCTGTAAATAATGCAGTAAAACTCATCTTTATCTCGTAGTGAAGAAGATGCAGTTACTCCAGTAGTTCCGAGATTAGGCTCACGCAAACGAGTAAGGGAGGGGGGGGGCTTTCAGTGCAGTATTAAGACTGCAGAAAAGGGGAGAGAACATGGCCGAACCGAACGAAAAAGACTGGAAGGAGGAAAGACAAAGTGAGGCTTCATCCTCCTGAATGATTATCCTTGCTGGACCGGAAAACCCAGCTAGTAGCACGAAGTTATTTTTCTCAAATTCTTGAAATCAATAGCATGATTCGAATTTTTTGACACAAAAAAACGTAATGTTTACGACCCATTTAGACCTTATTCGGGATTCGTTTCCTCCCCACTCGTCCGCCACAGACGGTAATAATTGGAGCTTTTTTATCTCTACAAGCTGATTTGGTAAAGTAGAGCTCATCTCAGCTCGGCGAACCAGACTCACCGAATGAATCCCTGTTTGCATTTTATATGTCAATGTTCAGCAGTGCATATAATCATGCTGCAACATATGTACTCGCTTATGTAAAGTTTTCGCACGACATCACATACCCTTCAGCAATTTACCCTGATAGTCATAATTATAAACAATTTAGGATTGCTTACTACCCCGCAACTCCATTATATCGTAAGGTGCAAGAATGATCCCTCGTTTGGTGAAGCAAAAGAAATTGGATACTATGTCAGAATATCTGATGCATTCAAAGAACTTTTGAAGGTACTACTTATTTAAATGCTTACATTTGCTGCAAGTAACAATTTTTATAGATTCAACGAGAGACCGGGAAGTCTTCTTACACTCCTGAACTCATTCTCGATTGTGCCAACGGCGTTGGAGCTGAGAAAATGCGTATGCTGTGTCGATTTCTTCCGGAAGATGCGTTGAGGATACAGTTCCGAAATGAGGATGACATACTCAATTTTAAGGTGCTGCCAAATTACAGAAGAAAAGATCACCAAGTAAAAACTAGCGAAATGGGGTGAAACTGCACAATTCTGAAGCCAGTTTCTGTAGCTAGAATGTGTTCAGACCGTGGAATTTTTGCCTAACTTACGGAAATACCTGGTAATCCCGCCAATTTTTGAAACTTTACTTCGAGGGACAGTGCTTTTTCCGCACCCTATAGTATATGGTGAGAGTCGTCTTCGGTAGACTGAGTCTGGTGAGCTTCGGCTGTAATCATAAGGAAAATGCCGAAATAAACCTGGAACTGTCTTTCAAAAGCAGCACCGCCCTTTCTCTGGAAAAAAACCCCGAAATCATATCGCATACAATATGTTCGAAGCAACCAACCAGAGCAGCTCTCCAGGTTTCTTCCCTTGCCCAGCCTAAGAGAGTATTGGACAGGGAATGAACTTTAATCTATGCCATTAGTCTGAAAATAATTTACTTTTAGTGCGGTGCAGATTTTGTCAAAATTGAACAAATTCTTCCCATAAACTTTGACGATGTCGACGTCAGTGCCAGATGCGCATCCTTTGATGGTGATGCAGACAGATTGATATATTTCAGGTTAGCATTCAGCCTTGTAGACAAGTCCCATTTACTCTAGGAAAAGTTGTTTGATTATGAATTAGCTCACAATAATTGTCAGTAATTCTGCATTTTGCTCTCATAAAATTTGTGAGACGACGATTAACTTGCTTTTAGAGCTGCGGGAGACAAAGACAAGGTTATTCTCATGGATGGTGACAAGATTGCAGTGCTAATCGCGAGATACATCAAGGAGGTAATATTATTGACGCGATGTTCAGATTTGATGGTTTGATTAAGGCTCTTGATGACGCTGGAATCACTGATCTCACAATGGGAATCATACAGACAGCATATGCAAATGGGAACTCAACGAAATACCTGAGGGATGTGGTTGTAAGTAGTCCACGCTGAGTTAGTTGAAGCTTTTCCAGTGGCAAGCTTCTGCATACGGAATTTGTTCTTAAAAGCCCAAAACTCGGGTTAGCGAAAAAATTTCGTTGCACATTCACATTTTACTTCTTAACCAGGGAAATTTCTTTGGAAAAAGTCAGTGTTTAATTTTTCGAACCAATTTTCACATGATGCACATAGGAAGAAGAAAGGAATTTTTTTGATTTCTGATGTATCTTACCTCCCGTCTCTAGCGCTAATGGCATCAGAGTTCTGCCATGGGAGCTCAAAGAGAATGGGGCGAAAGTACATTTTCAAGAGTCATAGTAAGGAGAGGCATGAAAAAGAAAGAAATGTTCAAGTTACTTATTGTAAACATTGATCATGCCATTAGGTAGAACCTGTCTCCCCCAGATGTGAACTTGAGTATTTCCAAATTTGATATTTTTAGAAAGCTAACCTTTCAGGATCAGAAAGAAGGGGTTAAGATCTACCAACTCAGTATTAGTACTCAAAGCAGATCTCTTTTATCCACAACCACAGGACTCAAATGAATGTTAACTTAGGGCATAACACCCGTTTTCGTGCCAACTGGAGTCAAGCATCTACATCATGCGGCTGTAAAGTTCGATATCGGCATCTACTTTGAAGCTAATGGCCATGGAACTGTCGTTTTCAGCGAAAAGTTTGATCGAGTAATTAGAAAGTATGCGTATTTATCTTTCCAATAAATAACCGACTTTATCGTATTTTTAGCGCAGAGCAACCCAATGACGCCATAAGAAGATTACAGTTATTCTCAAGAGTGATCAATGAGGTGATGACTTATTACTTAACCAGTGCGTGACCTCTGCTTCGCAGAGGCTCGCACTGGCTCTACTATCTAGGTCCTACTCATTCTCACATAATGATGGCATTGGAACTCACCGAGCAATGCCGACTATCACGAACCAAATGTAAACAACTACTCATTCCGAAAGTTTTATATGTGAAATCGGTGATTTCGCATGAATGAGACTTTTTGCATGATAACAAATGCAAATTTCTATAGGTTTTTGATTTTCCTATGGTCTTGACAGTTGCAATAAGAACAGCAGTCACCGTGAGCTACATCTTTGTGCAAAAATTTCGTCAGATGCTCTGGTAAAACCTTGGCAAATTGACCAATTGCGCAAGCAATACTTTTTGGCGCTGTTTTTGTAAAGTACTGGACAATTTATCACTTTTTTGGGCTTAAGCTCGTGGCTTGCACATTTACTCAACATAAATATCCACATCCCTACAAAAAGTGGAATTACGGACCCAACTTTGCTCGTCAAATGCAAAGTGGAACCGTTTGACGCGCAGTTTCTGAGGGATCCACTCAACGAATTGGCTCGTGCTTTTGCATGTTGGACTTATATGCAGGTAGCATGCGCTGTGCAAAATTTGAGCCCAGGGGGTTGGCTGGAACACGCTCTACGAATTTCGTAACAGACACACTCACAGACACACACACAAAGTCACGTAAACATCCTTAGCCCGTTATTATAAGTAATGATAACAAAAGTTTGCTTGACTAATTGGTGTTCTTTGACTTCTAGGTGGTTGGTGACGCAATGGCAGATCTCCTTGCAGTGGAGCTATTGTTACGATGGTACGGCTTTTCGATTGAAGATTGGGAGCGTGAACTCTATACAGACGCCCCAAATGTACAACTCAAAATACCAGTACGTTTTACTAGTCAAAAATTTTGTTGTTGGAGGGGATTTGAGAAATGTGTTTCCATTCCATTCTCAAGTGACTTAAAGGCAGCGTCCAGGTATAACCTCGATTTTGAGATTTTATGTTTACCCGGGCCTATTCGCCTTTCGGTTTCAAGACTCTGCCCCATCCTGCCCCTTTTAATTCAGCGTAGCGAATAGGCCCAGTTAAGCACAAAATCTCAAAATCGAGGTGTTGCCCGGACACTGCTTTTAAAAAATGGAAAAAATGCGTAGACTCATGTCTAGTTAAGCAAGCGTCTTTTTGTGGTCTGAGGCCATTGAACTGGGCTCAAACTTCAATTGTAGATAACGGCAAAGCTAAACTTGCGGTTTTTTGCTGTAGCGTGAAGTTTCAGTATTGTAGATCGAGATTTTCAAATATGATAATCATCGAAGGGCAATCTTAGAACAAAAGAAATCTGCTAAGACTTTCCACCCAAAAACTCGACAAATTAGTAGATTTCATATATCGATGTTACTCAAAGCAGTGATACAACCGCATAACCTTCAATACCGCTATTTTCTGAAAAAACGACGCGAAGTCGCCCGATTTATGTGACCTCACGGCAGTGTGGCCATATCTCGTTTCATAGTGGACGAATTCTTGATCCAAGGGCATCAGTCGACTCAGCTCGGCACAGCGCATCTTCTGATGTACAAATGTTCCTATTTGGGCACAGTAGGAGGCCATATTTGATTACGATAGGTTGGCCATAGCGAGTGCAATGAATAAACACACAGAATAACCTACCGTAAGCAAAAATCTGAAACGCTTCGTGGAATCTGGCCTCATAATGTGTCCTAGCGAGCACTTCTATAGATCAGAAAATGCGATGCGTAGAGCTGAGTCATTTGGAGTTCTTGGATCAAGAATTCGTCCACTCTAAAGCCACGCTATGGTGATGATATGGCCACGCTACGGTGATGTCACATGAATCGACTGTGCATCGTTTTTTCAAAAAATAAGAGCGGTATTGTAGATAATGCAGAGCTTCAGAATCATTCTGTGGAGAAACTTGAGGGTGGAAATAGATTTTTGAAAAGTATGTCTTTTCATGCTGCTTATTCAATTTAAGGTAACCGATCGATCCAAGTTCAAAACAACATATGAAGAAACTACTTTAATCGAGCCCGAAGGTGTACAGCAAGAAATTGATGCTTTGGTAGCTTCACATGAAGGAGCACGAGCATTTGTTAGGTTTGTTTCAAGCTCAATACCCACTATTATTCGTAATATAAATGAGAATATCTGCAGACCGTCAGGAACCGAAAACATCGTTCGTGTATATGCGGAAGCTCATACTGCGGAAGGTGCAGCAGCACTCGCAAGTGATGTGGCAAGCCTGATCAAGGGGTTGAAATCAACAGAGTTTTAAACATATCCATTAACTTATAATTTATTATAATAAAAATTCGTAATCTATATTTTTTGTACATCCATGAACCGATGGCAAATTCCAGCAAAGGATTGGAGGATGAAGGATAAATTATTCGGCTCTTCAAAAATCTATCCAGGCATGCGCGAACGAACGTACTCCACTTCATAGTTGAAGAGGCTACTGAAAGGGTGCGGGCCTTCTACAATGACTTGCGGGGCCAGTCGGTCATCAAGTAGTTGCTTTTATCCTCCCAGATTACTCTGGTGCCAAACTACCGTACAGTGTAGGCTGTATCACCCCGCATCGGTTGTTGGAACCTGCAAGCTGAGGCTGCGCGCTCACTCTTCAGGCGGCTCAAACGATACTCGAGCGCGGAAGCTCAAACATGGATGGCTAGAATAGTGACCATCAATTCTTAAGCTTTTTTTGCTTCTTCTTGTCGAAGTTTAGTCTCATTCGATGTGATGCGGAGTATTACCTCATTTGCGATGTAAAAAAGCCTTTTCTGCTATTGGAAGCTGATGGCAGTACTCGAAGAGGCATCATAGAACACTACAATCTTAGACAACTGGCCGGAACTTCCGCAGCGCTTTCGCAGGGTTTCCGCAGGTGACCCGGCGGAAATCCTGCGAAAGCGCTGCGGAAACCCTGCAATCTTAGGGTGCAGAGTTTCCGCAGCGCTTTCGCAGGATTTTCGCAGCACTTTGCGCTTTTAATTCGCGATCCGTTCCTTCCATATCAAACTTCCTTTTGATACTGATTTTCCTTTCCAATACTAGGTTTTCGCTTTTTACTAAGGCATTATTCCTTTGATTTGGAAATTCCTCTAGACTTTCTAGATGCTAAGAGACGTAGACAGCGAGATAGTTTTAATGAGAAAGCAAATAGCACAACATATTGTTTTATGCAGGTACCATAAAGAATCACAATAGGCCGAAGTTGATAATTGCAAATTAACAGATCAATGAAGTGTTCATAAATGAATATACATAAAATCACAGAAGCATTCGAGTATATACGCATAATCGATTAAGGTTGGAAAATAATCGGCAGATATTAACAATTAAAAAGCAATGTTATACTGATGGAAGAGTAAAGAATTATGGAAGAATAGAATGAAAACAAGAATAACAATCTCATTCACAAAGGATAATATGCGCTTCAAAGGGAAGATGGTCTTTTGGGGAAATAAACCGTTTCTACTTATCGGATGTCATTTTGACCTTGTCCGCGCGACTGAATCTGGCTTCGGCCTTCCTTCCTTTCTGTAATGAGAATTATTAATATTTCTTGATGTAAATCGTGCCTTGCCGCAAGTGTTCCATTTTGCAACTTCTTCGCCAAGAAATACGAAGCAAATTTGGACGATTCATATGAAATTTTCTGAAATTTCGAAATCTCAAAAGGAGAAGCTCTGAGACATTTGAAAATTACTAGAGTTTTCTGCAAAAATCAGCTCCAGAGATCAAAGTCGGTGGAGAAAATTACTCCATTCTAATATTTCCCATGTTTGGTTTGCAAAAATCTGCTTGCAGGAAATCGGAGCAATCGGTATCATAGCTACTAGCTGGCTTACCCGGCTCCGCCGTATCCGGACCAAACTTGGCACACATACACTTCGGGCCCCGGCGGGTGTCACAGTCCACTTTTCGTTATCGATCGATGTCGATTTTACCGATTTTTATCGATTTTTTGCAGAGTTCACCTACAGGGCTAGGAGTCGGCACAGGGGGGGAAGTGAGCATGGGGATTCCGAATACAATATTAGTTTTCAGAATTATCGATTACTTTTATTGATTTTATCGATTTTTTGTAAATTTTGACATGCGAGGCTGGGATTTTGCACAGGGGGGGGGGGGTAATCGAGCATGCTGATTACGAACACAATATTAGTTCTCAGGATCGTCCATTACTTTTATCGATTTTATCGATTTTTTGTAAATTTTGACATGCGAGGCTGGGATTTTGCACAGGGGGGTAATCGAGCATGCTGATTACGAACACAATATTAGTTCTCAGGATCGTCCATTACTTTTATCGATTTTATCGATTTTTTTGTAAAGTTTGACCTGCGGGGCTGGGAGTTTGCACAGGGGGGTAATCAGCATGCAGATTACGAATACAATATTAGTTTTCAAGATCGTCCATTACTTTTATCGATTTTATCGATTTTTTGAAAATTTGAGCTAGGGGGCTGGAATTTGGCACAGGGGTGTAATCGAGCATGCTGATCACTCCCCTTGGGGGTGATCAGCATGCTTGATTACCCCCCCCCCCCCCTGTGCGAACTCGCAGCCCCGCAGCTCAAACTTTGCAAAAAATCGATAAAATCGATAAAAGTAATCGATAATCTTGAAAACCAATATTGTATTCGGAATCCCCATGCTCGATTACCCCCCTGTGCCAACTCCCAGCCCCGTAGGTGAACTCAGCAAAAAAATCGATAAAAATCGATAAAATCGATATCGATCGATGACGAAAAGTAGCCTATGACACCCGCCGGGGCCCGTAGTGTATGTGTGCCAAGTTTGGTCCCGATCGGTTCAGAAATAAAAATTTGTATTCGGAACATACGTACATACATACAGACAGACATACAGACAGACAGACAAACAGACATTCAGCTTTATATATAAGATTATTACCTATTCTTTTTGAGTGTACAAATATTGCGCTGATTGAACGTCTTTTAGGAAGTTATGATCAGGGTCAAGTAAGACGTGTGGCACACGATCACTGGTTACGACCCCCCCCCCCTCTAATTGCTGTCTCAATAAGACCCCCCCCCCTCTGAACTGTGTACCTAGGATAGCATTACTTAAAGGCCCTGCAAACACAACGGGCAACATATCCATAATTAGCATGTCATTTAGCCCCTGTAGACAAAGTTTGAGCGAATTCTGAAGTTTCAACATGCTAAGCCACCTAAGTGAAATTGTCATTTTTCAACATGATTCGCTTTGTTGCAAAGGTGAATTAGCTACCAATTTTTGCACTCAAGACAAAGCACTACTTGTTCTTTGCCCACCTCAGAAATCCCGCTTCAAAAGTGGCCGCCACAGCTTTTAAAGGCTGTGTCCGGGCAAAAACTCGATTTTGAGATTTTGTGCTCACTTGGGCCTATTCGCTACGCTGAATCCGAAAATGCACATTGTAGAGCGCGAAAATGGCGAAAAACGGCTCTAACTCAGAAGGGAAATGAGCAGGTGGGCGGGGTCCTCCCCACTGCGAATTCACGTTCCCGGCTTCCGGAGCGACCTTCTCGCTTCCGGTTTCAAGTCAATCATTCGCACTTAGCCGGTCGCGATGTTAGAACGGCTAGCGGAATCGAGAAAATCGCTCCGGGAGCTGGGAGCGTGAAATCGCACTGGGGAAAGCCCCGCCCATTTGCTGATTTCCCTCTTATATTAGAGCCCTTTTTCGCCTTTTTCGCGCTTTCCAATGTGGATTTTCGGATTCAGCATGGCGAATAAGCCCGTATAAGCACAAAATCTCAAAATCGAGTTTTTGCCCGGACACTGCCTTTAACACGTTGACGACGGTGTCGCGCAATGGTGCGCGACAGGCGGTCTGTCCCTGTGGACGATGTCGCGCAATGGTGCGCGACACCCTAAACATCAGTTTTAATGTGCACAATGGTTCCAACTTGTGTTCATATAATCAAGTTAGGCTCGAAAGTATTTTATGTTGGCCCCGCTCCCTTTTTGGCAAACTCCGCCCACTCCATTGCCCTCTACAAAAAACTTTCTTCGTTCTCAAATCGCATAGAAAAGCTCATAGATGACAGGGGAACCTCAAATAATCTTGATTTTGACCCCGCCCCCCGTAATGCAGGCTCCACCCCCTCGGTGGCAAGCTCCGCCCACTTTTCAAAAATGCCGGAATTTGCACGAATTCATTGATTTTGAGCGATTTTCAGCATTTTTGAGAAGTGGGCGGGGCTTGCCAAAAGTGGGCGGAGCTGCCCCGCCCACTTGAATTTGTGTATCTCACGCATAGATGCATGCATATATATGTGCAGCCGGCTGTGAAAATGCCTGGAAACGGTTCGTCCACAGGGACAAACCTTCAAAAAATGGCTCGTCGTCAACGTGTTAAGGGGTGCCGCACCCCATTAACTATATCAAAAAACATTTTTAGGGAACAGTATTAATATGAATCAATAGCCTAAGTCTCCTAGATTCCACAGGAATGATTTGAGTTTGATTCGTCTTCTTAGCTCTGATTAATATCTGGTAAAAGCACAGCCATCAAAAGCAAAAATGGAAAAAAACGAGTTTTGGTTGGCTTCTATTTCCACAGTTTCGAGGTCTTTTAAAGCGGGATTTCTGAGGTGGGCAAAGAAGGAGTAGTGCTTTTATTGAGTGCAAAAATTGGTAGCTAATTCACCTATGAAACAGAGCGAATCATGTTGGGAAATAACCATTTTACTTAGGCGGCTTAGCATCTTGAAACTTCAGAATTCGCTCAAAGTTTGTCTGCAGGGGTTGAATGACATGCTAATTATGAATGTGATACTCGTTGAGCTTCGTAGCACATCTTTAGCTTGCCAAGGTAGTCGATACTCCATCTGTTTTTTCGCATAATGGGATTGCCTGACAAACTGCTCACAAATACCATGTTATCACTGATATCAGAATACCGACTGCGATCCCCTCCCCTTTTGACTCCTCAATACGACCCCCCAGGTGTGGCCTGCCACATCCCACGCTTGACCCTGGTTATGATTTTTGAAGTCGTAAAAAAGGTACATATGATTTTTTGGCATTTGCTTCGAAAATCGTAGCTTTTCATAAAGAGCTTCAATCAGCGCAAACTTGGCACAGTCAGAAAAAGCAGGCTATAAAACCTATAATGCTCCGATTGCCGTTGCGAGATTCAGTTTTGCGACCAAACGCAGAAATTTTGAAAATGGAGTAATTTTCTTCTCCGGCTTCTATCTCTGGAGCTAGCTTCCATTGAAAGGTACTTCAGGTAGGTACCATTGGAAACACGAATTCGAAAATAAACATGTTCAGATCCGTTGAAGATGTAGGAAGTATTTGGGAGAGAGAAAAGCATTAAAACAGCAAAAACAGAGGAGCAGAGAAGGATAGATACACTAAAGCAGTGACGGTGCAAACTTTTCCAGGGGGGGGTACAAAAAATTATTTGGGTTTGTGTGCGTGAGCCACCAAACCCAAATACAAAGAGAAATTTAGGAATGGTTAAATTTTCGTGTTTCCAGTTTTTGTACGCTTTCGATTTTTTTAGCACAAAGGGGCGTGGAGTGAGCCATACCTTCAAAAATTGCATAGACAAATACTTTAGAGTTCAAAAGAGCTTTTTCATTACCTACAGTCGCAGACTACTAAGAATATTCTTGGGACCCATTATGCCCCGCCCCTTTCTTTTGATATATTTCTACCACATTATTTCTATTTTATTTAATCATTCAACACTATTATTTAGAAATTTGAATTTCGAATTTCTCGAGCTATTATTTTGAATCGTAAGTTTCGAATTTTTTATCTTCGAATCAAAAATTATTATTTTGTGATGAGTGCGGTCTTGTGAGAAGAAAAGGATTTGAAAATCAAAAGCAGAGAGTAGAAAAGGATAGACACACGAAAAACAGTGGCAGCGCAAGAAATTTATTTAAGGGAGGGGAGGGAGGGATTGAAAATTTTGAGTTTGTGTGCGTGTGGCCATTTCCAGCAAAAGAAAATTCAGGATTGGTTGAATTTTTGCGGCTACAATTTTTGTACCACCCCAATTTTTTAGCACAGCTCCTTCGAAAATTGTCCACAACTATTAGTTGGGACCAAAAGTACGTTCGCCAGTTGTTCAAAAAATCATAATTTCCTTTCGACTGGACGGATCTCTTTGATTTTATACTCATCTAAGAGAGAAAATCATTCTCTTTACAAAGGTATCTCTGAAATGAATTGGCTTGGGAAAGTTTGCGAGTTAGAAGCAAAGAAAATTACTCAAGATTGGCATTTTTCAAGCAGGGTCACCAAAAAATTCTGGAAGTATTTTTCGATAGAAAACATTATGTTTTTTTACTATAGTGCCTTTTCCAAAAACAAAAAAGATTGAGATAGAAGCAAATCAAGAGAATTACTTCAGTTTTGCAATTTTTGAGCATGCTCAAAAATGCCCAAAAACATCACAGAAAAGACGGGATATTTATGAACATGGTTTTTATGACCTCCTTCTAGCTGAGAGAAATTCGTGCCAATCGAAAGCAATTTTGATTTTCGTTTAAAATCAGATTTGTAAACTCGGTAATATTACGAAAATCAAAACCGCTCTCGATTGGCACGAATTTCTTTCATTTAAGAAGAAAAGGTCAATAAACCCATGTTCACATGACTTTATCCCTCCCGACGCAAAACTGAAGCAATTCTCCTTATTTGCTTCTAATTCTCAATCTTTTTTGTTTTTGAGAAATGCACTCTAGTAAAGAGCATAGCTTTCTCTACCGAAAACTACTTTCAGAATTTTTTGGTGACCCTGCTTGAAAAATGCCAATTTTGAGTAATATTCTTCAATTGCTTCTAACTTGAAAAACTTTTTTATGCCAATTCATGGCAAAGGTATTGCTGTAAAGAGAATAATTTTCTCTCTTAGACGAATACAAACGCAAAGAGATCCATCAAATCGAAAGGAAGTTACGATTTTTTTGAAAAACTGGCGAACGTACTTTTGGTCTCACCTAATACTTTGAATCTGAAAATTTTCGAAAATTTTTCAATATTCACCAGGAGCTAATAGATCATTTTGAAAATTTCTGACCCATTATTCTTCCCCTCCCCCTTCGTTTTGATGTATTTCCACCCAATCATTTCTGCTTTATTTAGACCCAGTGCATATTTTCTACAAAGTGATAGTTTCAAATTACTTGCGTTTTTATTTCAATCGCACATAAAGCAAAGAAGTTCGACATACCTGAACAAGGGCGTTGTGCTTAGACGAAGTCCCTCCGTTGAGTCATTTTCCAGCACTCCAGCAGCTTGGTGATGGTTGTTCACACACCTGCACCGATGCCTGAAAGAATACTTAGAATATGGATGAGTACAGTTTTATTAACGCCAGCATTGAAGGAAGGAAAAAAAGAAAGAAAAGAGGAGGAACAGAAGCAAAACAGTATGGAAGAAAAGAGTGCGCTATGCGCTGCTGATGTTGCGTTTGCTATTTCGCAATCGCAAGTGCATGCGCTCTCAAAGGCTGCGTTCATACTGATTCCCATGTTCTGGAACTGTTCCCGCACAGTTCTCGCACTGTGCTGAAACTGTGCGGGAACTGTGCGGGAACAGTTCCAGAACTGTGCTGCATGCGCTGCAGCCGCCCCGCACCGTTTTGAACGGCGGGAGTTGGAGAATTTTGACCGTTCTCAACGGTTTTTATTCCAGATTTCGCTCATTTTGGCCTTAATCCTCCACCCCGCTTCCCTTTTTGATCAGCAGCACTGCGAACTCGAAGCGGGGTTGAAGAATGAGCGCTTTTCTGCGCCGTGTATTCGGAAAGATGGGCTATCGTGCGACTGTTCATTCTGTCTTCTTGTTTTTTGCTCAAAACTACTTCATTTGTTCCAGGAAGCGGCTGCCCAGTTTCCATAGCCATCTGCCACAAATTAGGGAGTAGGAGAAATCCTGAAATTGCATGAGTTGGGACTTTTCTCTTGTTTTTCATGATTTTGGACGTTCTTAGCCTTGTTCGTTTTTCCATGTCGTTGCTTCTCCGTTCTTTCTTCTACCCCGCTTCTCCTAGTGATGAGAAAAGCTGTGAATTTGAAGCGGGGTTGAGGATTGAACGCTGTTCTGCTCGATGTATCCGGGAATATGGGCCTTCGTGCGCTCGTCCATTCTATCATCGCTATTTTTGTTCAGACCTATTCATGTGTACTAACAAGTTGCTGCGTAGTCTCGCATCGTATTAAACTTGAAATAGACAAGTCTCTAGAACACATGAAGTAGGTCTGAACAAAAATAGCGATGAGAGAATGGACGAGCGCACGAAGGCCCATATTCCCGGATACATGGAGCAGAACAGCGTTCAATCCTCAACCCCGCTTCAAATTCACAGCTTTTCTCATCACTAGGAGAAGCGGGGTAGAAGAAAGAACGGAGAAGCAACGACATGGAAAAACGAACAAGGCTAAGAACGCCCAAAATCATGAAAAACAAGAGACAAGTCCCAACTCATGCAATTTCAGGATTTCTCCTACTCCCTAATTTGTGGCAGATGGCTTTGGAAACTGGGCAGCCGCTTCCTGGAACAAATGAAGTAGTTTTGAGCAAAAAACAAGAAGACAGAATGAACAGTCGCACGATAGCCCATCTTTCCGAATACACGGCGCAGAAAAGCGCTCATTCTTCAACCCCGCTTCGAGTTCGCAGTGCTGCTGATCAAAAAGGGAAGCGGGGTGGAGGATTAAGGCCAAAATGAGCGAAATCTGGAAGAAAAACCGTTGAGAACGGTCAAAATTCTCCAACTCCCGCCGTTCAAAACGGTGCGGGGCGGCTGCAGCGCATGCAGCACAGTTCTGGAACTGTTCCCGCACAGTTCCCGCACAGTTCCCGCACAGTTTCAGCACAGTGCGAGAACTGTGCGGGAACAGTTCCAGAACATGGGAATCAGTATGAACGCAGCCAAAGTCTTGTGGAAATGCTGGCGGGTCAAAGTGCTGCGGAAACCTTGCCAGAGTCACTGCACTTTCGCAGCGCTTTATGGAAAGTGCTGCGGAAGTTCCGGTTTACGATCGCTGTGACGTCAATTTCCTGCGAAAACCTCGCATTCTGGAGCGTGCACTTTCTCAATGGTTAGGAAAGTGCTGCGGAAACGCTGCAAGTTCTGCTTCTCCTGCGGAAGTTCCGGTGAATTGTCTGAGATGTATGATCAGAATACGTTAGGTGAACAATAATTTCAAAATCGCAACTATGCAAACACCACTTGAACTACCAAAAACAATCACAAGAAGATTGGTTGTGCTGATTTAGCGACCTTTTAAGAAATTTGAAAATATAGCAAATATGCAAACCTACAAGCGAGACTTAGACATGAAAAGACGAAAGAAATGTAGTAGAGATAGACAAGAATCAGTTGTCGACGAGAGCAATGTGAGTTGGTAGTGGTCACAAATCTTACCCCAACTTCCGCTCCAGTATCGTTTTTGCTGCCTGCAGAGCGCGCGCACTACAGCTCGCTCTTTCCCCGATCTTGAGAGCTGATACAGCCTATAGATATAGATGTCCTTTCGACTTGGTGAGATAGCTTCAATACGCAAAAACGGAACTCAAGATACATCTCCTTACAAAATTCTGAAAATCGAAGATGAATGCCACTTATCTTTGGAGTTAGAATTCAAGAAAATGAGTTTCTAAGTCCCAGTTTTTAGCTTGAAAGTGTGCTGTAGAAGCTGCCAACGAGGATTTCTGAAAACCTTTGAACCAGACAGATACTACTTCTACAGTCACCTGCATCTTATTGTTAGCGCAGCATACAGTCTTCGATCGAGATCAGGCTGAGAACGGTGGCTCAAAATCTCGCTCTCGCAACGCTGGGAGTTTGCGCCAGGGCGCGGCACAGATGGCTTGGGGGCAAACCGAACTTCGTTTTGGGGTAAAAACAAAGTTTTATAAAACCTGGTAAATATACATATAAGTGAGCTCCAGATGTGTTATTTATCAAGTTGGTGCATCAATGACATGCTAACGTGTTCTTTTTCACCAAGCCAAATCCAAGATGATGCTAAAATAAACAAAAGGCTTGTTTACAGCGCACGAGCAATCACTTGACACGGAGTCTGGGATTGTAAATAGAAGTATATATCTGTATATATCCGGTATGTAAACCTACACTTATTCTTTTCCTTTCCTTTTTGTCCTTTCCCATTATCATTTGTGTAATACCGTACGCTTTCTTCATTCCCATACTCTTTGTTTACAGATGGCACAACGATAGCTCGACGCGCAACGATGCCAAACAGAGGAGGAGTCTGGCGAATCAGTGAAGAACCTACGACCAGCGAGCCACCACGTCTTTGGGCTCCGATCCCTCTTTCTTGTTGTGTTTCTGTCATTTTGTGTTGCTGGCGTGTCATATTTGCGAGTTGTTTCTGTTTATTGAGATAAACGCGTCTAGTAAGACTGTGTTAGGTGTACGCCTGAGGCGTAATTCGCATTAATATGGTATTAGTCATGTACGAGGGTGACATAATATCCATAAGTGATAGCAGCGAGTGCGGCCTCGTAGCAGCCCGCAACCCAAACCGTCCTTACCTCTTGTAGGAATTGAATTCCTCATGAGAGTAGCTCATGAGATGACCGGTTTAGCCTCAGCCGGAGTGAGTTTGATTGGAAAATTGTGCAGCGTAGTCTGGGGATGGCCACTTACTAGATTCAAAATCTCTCTCAATTTTCTGTTCAAATCACCTGTCTTTTGATGTCATTTGTTGGTATTTTTTGTCGCTGCATGGTAACACATAAGAAATGGATGATTTTTTGTGTTCTTCACTCAAACCTCGTCGCCCATTTGGGGACCTGAGCCAAACAAGTTGAAAAAAATTGGTCCTTGTTGGCCATTATTCACCGAAAATGTGTGAATTTTCAATTGAAAAGATTATTCCAGAAAAAGTGGTAATATTTGCCGTCTTCTCAATACTCTGGGAAAAAAGTGGTAATATTTGCTGTCTTCTCAATACTCTGGTCTTCTCAATGTTTTGAGAAACGCACGTTACATCACTCTTATATCATCCAAAACCCCAGCCTTTTTATCATCGCGAGTGCCCCCCACCCCCAGAGCCCGGCATAGATCGTCTAGAAGCAGGCTGGACTTCGTTTTTTAGAGCAAAAAGCAAAGGAGATATCGTTTTTGACGATTCGGGGCCCAGCACCAAGAATAAGCGCCATTTAGTCGAATACAAGCTTTTCAGACAGATTATCACACGATTGATATGCTCTATCGTGTATGGCGAGAAGTGCGCGCAAAAATAAACGAATTGCTTGTTTACAGTGCACACAGAGTCATATGACACCAAAATTGTACTGTATACATTAAAAATTATTTGCAAAAGAATTATGTAAAAAGGTTTGAAAACTTATGTGAAGTAATACGTTTTCCAAAATTAGATCGTCTCCAGACGGCCACCAGACGATCTGAGATCGTCTGGAGCATATATTTCTGTCACTTCACATAAGTTTTAGATTTTTCTATCATGGACGGATTCCCCGTTCAAAAATCTACCCCTGAGCATGAAAACGTTTTCATATCATTGCCTTTCCTTTGTTTTTTGCCTTCATTTTCTCATATATCGCTTTGTAAAATATCGCGCTCCAATCCCAAACTCTTGTGCACGCGTAATACTCAGCTCCAATTTGGATTTTCACTCTTATCTTACGTTTTATCTTTCAGACTAGTAATCTCTTTCTTGTTTTCATCTTCTCCTAAGCAAATAGGTCAAAGGGGACTTCGTAAAACTTCCGAAAGTCATAAGAGACTTCGTTTTCAGAAACCCTAGAAACCGACTCGTGCCGGGCCCTGCCCCCCCCCCCCCACCCCGTTTCCGAGAGGCAGGAGAGCCAAGAGAATCCCCCCCCCCCCATGCGTCATCCAACACCTATCGACAGGTCCTTCCTGAACCAATTGATCCTGGCGGCGCCGGTTACCTGACGTGGCAATACATGTTAATAGCTGGCAGGAAACGGTAAGCTAAGCGAACCGGTCAATACATGGTAAGAAATGTGGCACTCAATAGATATTCATTCTATCCCAGCCACTTACTTTTCGGCTATTCTATCCACCACGAGGACTTCCAGGATTAGGTGAGTTTTTATCATATAATAAATCCATTTTTTTCCTACAACGCTGCTTTTTCTCACTTGGCCTCGTTTAGTTGCATTTCGAGGGAAATGCACCATTTTGATGCATTCTCGCTACTAATTGTTCACAGCATTAGACCTATCCTTGTACAAGTCTTTCTCAGTAACCATCTTCTCCAAACTCCCGTTCATGTGCAATGTTTTAAGCAAAACATGATTCCGTGTTGTTTTCGCTAAGACCTTTCTTTCTCGTTCACTTTTCTTGGACTTATATTTTTGATCGCAATCTCTCGTTAGCTACAATCAACAAACTGCGCAAATTTTGCATATAGGTTTTCGTTTCTTTTTACCAAATTGCCCGAAATTCAAATTCGCAAGCGTAAAACGTTTCTTTATGCACATTCTTCTTTGTCCGTACCCCAAACTGAGTTTCATTCATGCCATCTCGGTTTTTCGCAACTAAATCACGCAAGAAATTTTCCTTTGCCTGTCATAAACATAGTCTGCATGCAATCTCAAGCATTCCTATTCAATGTTTGAATTCCCATTTGATCTCACGCGAACTTTGGTATGTTTCCAAGCGCGACAGCATCTTTGTCCCTTTGTATGAGAAATTCTCATACAAAGCCTTCCCTTATCTTGGCTTTCATCGAGCACATGTTGCCGATGGCAGAAACAAAGATGCAGCGCGCATAAAGAGCACATACCATCAAGGATAGTATAAAACGAGCCGATTTAGGAGACGAGCACCCCTCCATAGCTAAGGATCTGGAAGAACAACGCCTTCTCCACACTCAAGCCAACATCGCTCGCATAACACCCGATCTCGGACTACAACACAGGACAACGCCGACTCTGCTCGATCATCACCTCCAGAGACAGCAAGTCCAGTTGATTCGGCATTGACTACCGGTGAAGGATGTCTTCATCGGAAGTTAATGTTTTAAGTCAAGCTTATAGAGCGACCTTGCCCTCGGGAAGCTCGCGCCCAAACATATTGAATACTTCTTTGGTGATAGCACCCGAGATTTCAATGAGTGGCATCGCCAGTTTGAAGATATTTTGCGCATTTCTGTCGCGCCTCTGCCGAACAACTCAAGGTCCGCACTTTATGCTATTTTGAGAGGCGACGCGCGCGATATTATTGAGGAAATGCCCCTTGAGGACAGAAACAATTACGACAAGGTAGTCTCCTTTCTGCGCTCTCATTTTGAGTTGCCACACTTCCGCGAAATAAGACAAGAACTGGCGGAATGCAAGCAAAGAGCAAACGAATATGTGGACTCTTTTAGTAAGCTCATCAGGAAAGTGGTTCAAATTCTAATGAAAGGGGCGCCTAAGAACACGTGCAAGACAAACTTTTGGAAGAGTTTGTTAATCGCCTAAAACCGGACATGAATTGGCATGTCAAAGCGCAAAATCCCAAAACTTTTGAAGATGCACTGGTACAATCGCATATGAGTCTTTATGCAACGAAATATCAGATCTAATGGTATTTAATCCAGATATAGGGACATATGTTGCAAGGAGAGATATCGATGACGTCAGGAAAGACTTCAACGTGGAAGGAAAGACCATCCAACCAACAATTCCGGACCGAGAGAGGTAAGATCATTTTCTAATAGATATAATAGACCATCTTGGCCGCGTTCATCGAATGCGAATGTGACTTGTTACAAGTGCGGAAAAATCGGTCAATTTGCTAATGCTTGTCGTTCTAGTATGCCTCCCAATAACAACAATTTTCAACAGCGGCGTCAATTTCCAATAAGAAACAATCCCCAACCAAATTCAAGTCATAGACAAATAAAAGAAAAGGCTTTTTGGAATACTCCGTTTCGTTCCTTCCCCTAGACGGAGTAAAGGAGCTCAGAACTCTCCCCGGAACTCCTCAGTAAGGAAGGAGAGTTCATGAGTCCTGTGTATATTTTGAAACAGTTTTGAGATAAATTTTTTAAAAATTGTTGTAAAAATTGAAGTTTGACAACTTACAGTTTTTATACTCCGTCTTCTATTATATATATATTATATTACAAAGTAATATATGATATATCATTTGTGTTGATTATATACCATATACTATATTAGTGACCATATTGGTAGATGAAAGAATAAAATGAAACATGCTAGTGTTTTTGTAATTGAATTTATTTATTATGACATAAGTCATTTTGATGCACTACTTTACTGAATTGGTTGTTTGTAGTAGATGTATATTTAAACAACTATATTGATTAAAAATATGTAATATTGATTAGGATCGAATGATTTTATATAGTTATAGACTGGTGTACGACATATATCAATTAACTATAATTTGTGTAGATTATGATGTATAATGTGTGATAATTTTTTAATTTTATCATAATTGTAAAATTTGTATTTATATAGTATAAAATTAC